CAGCAGTCCCAGCAGCAGCAGGACCAGCCCCAGCCGCAGCCGCCGTCCCAGCAGCACCCGCCGCAGCCGTGGGCTCGTCTCCCGCCTGGTTGGCCCGGCACCTCCGGAGGCGGTGGCCGTGGTGGCGGCCCACGCAGCTTGGCGTCTACCAGCGGCTCCAGTGCTGTGACCTGCCAGTACCAGCTTCAGACCGGGCCTCTCCGCGGCACTCTGTGCCGCCGCCCGCACCCGACCGCCCGCTGTTTCCGCCGCCTCGACGATCTTTTTCGTCGTCGCTTTGGCCCGGCCGCGGACCTCCCTGACTGGCACAGCCTGCTCCGCCAGGGCGTGCCGATCTTTGAGTTAGACATGGATCAGATAGGTGCTGCTTTGCATGCTTTGTATGCTGACGCTTCTAGTGTTGATGGATCTTACTACCCTGTGTACTCTAGTTTAGGTGTTTCACCCTTGTGTAGCTTAGCTTCCCCTGCTGCGACAGGCGTAGGACTGCCTAGGTTGCCTAGTCTAGTCGCTGCACCGGCTCCGTCCCCGGCCCCCGCCACTGCGTCGCTGTCCTTCACTCTCGACTCTGGTGCTTCTGCCTGCTTCTTCCGCGACCGTTCCACGCTCACGCCGCTTGCTGCACCTGCTGTTGTCTCTCTCGCTGACCCCTCTGCGGGTCCGGTCGTCGCGCGCAGTTCTACGTCCCTTCCCTGTCCGGCAGTTCCCTCGGGCTCCCTTACTGGCCTCCACGTTCCCTCGTTCTCCAGGAACCTGGTTGGTGTCGGCTGTCTCCAGGACCTCGGCGTCACCACCACGTTCCCCGGGCACGAGCGGTTCGCTGTCTGTTCTGAGGCTGTCTCAGGTTCCCCCCTTGCGACGTTCCCCCGGGACCCGGTGTCCGGTCTGTTTACCCTACACACCGCTTCCCCCCCGGTTGGTGCGTCCTCCCAGGTCGCTGCAGCTTGCTCGTGTCGGTCCCTCACTCACCCCTCCCTTCTCTGGCACCACCGCTTAGGTCACCCTGCTCTCCCGCGTCTGCGTCACATGTCCCAGCACGGTCTTGTCTTAGGTCTCCCCGCGTCGCTCCCTGCCCTTCCTCCCTCGACTGCGCCACCGTGCACGCCTTGCGTCGAGGGTCGGCTCCGCCGTGCTCCTCACTCCTCCTCGCTGCGTCCTGCTACTGCCCCCCTTCAGACCCTGCACTTGGACGTTTGGGGCCCTGCCCCCGTCCCCGGACCGCGCGGTGAGCGCTACTTCCTTGTGCTTGTCGACGACTACACGCGCTACACCACGGTGTTTCCCCTGGAGCGGAAGGCCGACGTGCCCGACGTTCTTCTCCCGTGGGTTGTGGCTGCGCGTCTCCACCGCGGTCTCCCCGTGTTGTGTCTCCACTCCGACCGTGGCGGCGAGTTCGCCTCTGGTCGGCTTGGACAGTTCTGTCGTGCGGAGGGCATCACCCAGTCGTACACGTTGCCGGACTCGCCACAGCAGAATGGGGTTGCTGAGCGCCGCATCGGCTTGGTCATGGAGGTCGCCCGTACCTCCATGATCCATGCCGATGCCCCCCATTTTCTGTGGCCGTTCGCTGTTCGCTACGCGGCTCACCAGCTTAACCTGTGGCCACGCTCCCAGCGGCCGCAGGTTTCGCCGACCCTCCTTTGGACCGGGTCCCCCGGTGACGCGTCTGCGTTCCACGTCTGGGGCTGCCTTGCTCACGTTCGTGCCTCTGGCACGGACAAGCTCACTGCCCGCACTGTCCCCTGTGTCTTCCTCGGTTTCCCCCTGGACTCGTCTGACTGGCTTTTCTACCACCCGCCGTCTCACCGCTTCCTCCACTCTCGTGACGTCACCTTTGATGAGTCCGTCTCCTTCTACCGCCGCTTCCCTCACCGAGGTCTCCCAGTTGCCCCCCCCTTTTCCTTGCTCCCTCTCCCCCGGTAGCCCCTGCCCCTCTCCCGCCTCGTCCTGCCCCGTCTGGTGTCTCCCACGTCACTCCCCTCCCGTCGGTTGTCCCCGTTGAGGAGTCTGCTGACTCTGGTGGTACCCCCGGTCCGTCCTTGCCGCGTCCCCCTTCCCCGGTGCCTCCGCCCCCACTGTCGCAGTCGCCGACCCCGCTGCCGCCGCCGTCGCCGTCGCCGCCGCAGCCGTCGCCGCTGTCGTCGCCGCCGCCGCCGCTGTCGCTGCCACAGCCGTCGCTGCCACAGCCGTCGCCGCTGTCGCCGCCGCCGCAGCCGTTGCCGCCACTGCCGCCGCTGCTCTCGGCCCCTGGGGGTGCTGGTGTGGAGGAGGGTGTTCGTCCTGCGGCTTCTGGGGGTGCCGCTGGTGTTGGAGGGGGTTCTCGCTCTGGGGGTGTTGGTTCTGGGGGTGCTGCTGTTGAGTGTTCTGCCGACGGTCGTTCTGCCTCTGCTGGTCCGAGAGTTCCGGCCCAGCCGTCGTCGCCGCCGCAGCAGCCGTCGCCGCCGGTTTCCGCTCTCCGCCTGCTCGGCCTTCCCTCCCCGGACCGCGCGCCGGTGTCTCCCCCACCGCCTCCTGACCTCCCTGTCTACGGTCCTGTGTTCCCGCCGCCAGACTCATCTCCGGCCCGTCTTCCTCCTCGTTCCCCTCCTGTGTCTCCTCCGCTGTCCCCTGACCCTACCCCTCCGTCTCACGTTTGGGCTCGCCGTCCCTCCCGTGCTCGTCCCGTCTCTCCTGTCCTGCCCACCCACCCTATGTTGCTCCGTTCCCACTCGTCTCGTCCTCCCCTCCTCCCGTCCCCTCCTCCCTCGTCCCTTGCTGTTGCACCTCCTCCGTTCTCTGACTACCTCCGTGCTGCTCGTCCCCTTGTCCCTCGGGTCCTTGCCTCTCTTGTTACCGACCCTGCTGTTCCTGTCTCGCGCCTTGACGCGCTTGTCGCTGCTGTCGCTGACTTCGCTTCTACCCGCCGCCTTGACTACGCTACCGCTCTGGTCTCTGACCCTGCCCGTCCTCTGTCCGTCGGGGGTGCTCCTGCCCTTGGCAGTGACGTCCTAGAGGACAGGCAGTACGAGCTGGCTTTCCTTTCCGAGGCTGCTCCCCATCTCTGCTCCATGCTGTTAGTCCCTGAGGGTGACCCAGACGCCTTCGACATCCCGACCCCTCGCACCTACGCTGAGGCCACCTCGGGACCTTGGGCCTCTCAGTGGATAGCTGCCATGGAGCAGGAGATGGCATCTTGGAGATCCACCGGCACTTACGTCGACGCAGTTCCCCCGCCTGGGGTGAACGTAGTCGATGGTCGGTGGCTCTTCAAGGTGAAGCGCCCCCCTGGAGAGCCGCCTGTCTTCAAGGCACGCTACGTGGCCAGAGGTTTCAGTCAGCGCGAGGGGGTTGACTTCTTCCAGACCTTCGCCCCGACCCCGAAGATGACCACTCTTCGGGCGCTGCTACACGTAGCAGCACAGCGTGACTACGAGCTTCACTCCCTCGACTTCTCTACTGCCTTTCTTCAGGGCAGCCTACACGAGCAGGTCTACCTGCGCCGACCACAGGGCTTCACTGGTACCTTCCCTCCTGGGACCCAGTGGCTTCTCAGGCGCCCGGTCTACGGCCTGCGTCAGGCTCCCCGCGAGTGGCACGACACGCTACGTGCCACGTTAGCAGACCTGCAGTTCTTTCCGTCCTCTGCTGACCCTTCACTGTTTGTGCGTTCCGGCCAGACTCCGTTCTACATCCTTGTCTACGTAGACGACCTGGTCTTCGCTACTCCTGACAGGGACGCACTGGCCTCTGTGAAGGCTGAGCTGCTGAAGAGACACACCTGCACTGACCTTGGAGAGCTGCGTCGCTATCTTGGCCTGCAGATCTCTAGGGACAGAGCAGCACGCACCATCACTCTGACCCAGTCACACTTGGTGCGTCAGGTCCTTCAGAGGTTCGGTCTTCAGTTCTCCTCCGCACAGCCCACACCTCTACCCGTAGACCATGGGCTCTCTGCTCCCGTTCCTGAGGAGCCAGTAGAGCCCAGTGGCCCCTACGCAGAGCTGGTGGGTTGCCTCATGTACCTGATGACTTGCACTCGCCCAGATCTCGCATACCCTCTCAGCATCCTGGCTCGCTTTGTGGCTACAGGCAGACACCGACCTCAGCACTGGTCTGCCGCTAAGAGGGTTTTGCGTTATCTTGCTAGTACATCAGGCATGGGGTTAGTGCTAGGAGGACGCAGGCCAGTGGTCCTTACTGGGCACACAGACGCTTCTTGGGCAGACGACGCTGAGACGCTCAGGTCGTCGCAGGGCTACTGTTTCAGCCTTGGTTCGGGTGCTATCTCTTGGAGATCCACTCGCTCGTCGTCTGTGGCTCAGTCTAGCTGTGAGGCTGAGATCTACGCTGGTGCCATGGCGGCACAGGAGCTCCGCTGGCTGACCTTCTTGCTCACAGACTTAGGTGAGCGGCCTAGCTCTGCCCCGGTCCTGTACGCTGACAACAGGGCCATGATACTCCTGTGTCAGGAGCCTCGGCTTGAGGGCAGAGCGAAGCATATCCAGCTGCGGTACTTCCTCCTGCGCGAGCTACAGCAGCGCCGCCAGGCCCGCGTAGTTCACTTGGCCTCAGGTGCCAACACAGCTGATATCTTTACTAAGGCGCTTGCGCCTAAAGATCATCAGCGGCACTGTCTACAGCTTGGTCTTGTTCCTATAGCTGCTCCCCTGTTAGGATCCTGATTGTGTACTCTCTATTATATATGCTTGTCAGACTGGCCTTGTGGCCTTACCTCCAGTGGCTGGACTAGTAGTGCCACCCTGGCTTGCTTCAGTTTTGGTTGTATTCTTGCTGACTGGTCTCCAGACCCCTGCCTCAGTGGTTGGACTAGTAGTGCCGCCCTGAGCTGTTTGCTTCCTGTTTAGTTTCACCCCTTGTCTAGCCTAGGGGGTGTGTCAACTTATACATATTATCTATGTAGAAGTTATAGGCTAGACTGAGGTATGCTTCTAGTGAGTACAACCAACTAGTATTTGTTCTAGGTTTCCACCTCTAGTAATCATTCGTTTCTACGTTAACACAAGGGACCAAAACCTAGTTTCAACAACCAGTTGAACTCTACAATAAATAAGCTAACAGAAGCTTCTGCTGCGCATATGAAATCCGCAGTTCTTCAATCACGCAGCAACAGCAGCAACATGAACCGGAATTCTCGTCTGGGTCATTCTGGAAACTTCAAACATCAGCTTCATTTGCAGCAACTTTGAAGACCCCTTCTCTGCAACAGAGCCTTCAGCATCAGTCCTCTTATTCCCCTGCTGCTGCTGGTAGATCTCGCCTCAGGAACCATTAAAGCCGTTCTTGAGCTCACAGGCTTTGGGATTCTTGAAGGCATGCTTGAAATCGCAGACAGCGAAACCATTTTTTGAGACCGTTGCTTGACCTTCTGCTGTATTGTCGTCTGTTGTTGCTTCTGTGGCAGCTCGCTAGCGACTTGAGCAGCAGCCTTCTTTGCTGGACTCACAGCCGCTGGACGCAGGGGAGAGAATCCAAGTGGCCGACGGAAGGACCTGCCCTGCGGGTCCTTGGCGTCCTTTTCGAATCTACCAATCTTTAACGCAGCGAAGAACGCACTGAAGCCTTGCGTGGTCGTACGGAGCCTCCTGGTGTCGGAGTTCGGTCGTCGGTCGTAGATGGCGGTCTGGTTGACGTTCAGCGCCGAGTTTGTCGCCATCGTAAGTGCTGGTGACGACGTGAGACGGCTGTTACTACGACGCAGTTTAAAGAGCTGCTGGAGAAGGTCTCTAGAGCAGGTTAAAGAGCGTCTGATGAGAGTAAACGCGTGAGCTCAGGACTACGAAACGAGAGAGTGATGGAGAGAGCGGAACTACTGCAGAGCAAGAAACTGGTGAAGAAAATGTAATGATCTACTCGGATTATGTACGCGTTTAGAGCTAGAGGAGTCGAGGGGAGAGGAGTGGTTGTGGAGAGAGCCCATAGAGGGGAGAGAGGCTGTGGGTGTGGAAATCTGAACAAGAATTTCGGTTAGGGCAGGAACGTATAAGTTGACAGGGCTTTGTGAGGGCAGTTATTGGCCCTTCACCCAAATCAACGGCCAATGCGTATTGGGGGCTGTGTGAGGGAGTTGACTGGCCCTTCACCAAAATCGCTGGCCGATGTGTACTGGGGGCTGTGTGAGGGAGCTGACTGGCCCTTCACCAAAATCACCTCCCAGTTTGTGATGCGTGCGGTGTGAGGGGCCGATTGGCCCTTGGAAAATTTTGCAGAGGTGTGCTTGCCAGTGCAGCGGGCTGTGTGTGCGAGAGCACCCATTGGCCCTTCACGAAATAGCCACCTGGATGGCCCCGATTTCCCTACCTCCCCTGCAATTTTGATTTGCCCGCCCCCCAATTCTTTTCCGCCCCCATCCCTCGATTTCGTCCCCCATTCGCGATTCGCCACGATCCCGTTTCTCCACCAACCGATATCGTCGCCGTACCTCAGGCACGCGAAATTACTAGACACGGAACAGGGACGGGGGGGGATAGAAACCCGTGAAAGACTCACCTAAATTTTTTAAAATCGTATGTCAGTCTGTCTGGGAGATTATCAAAGTAAAAAAATCTTCTGTCAGGCCTGGCAAGAGCGCTGTACAGTACAGCACAGCCTTGCCATGAGCCTCACTGATCAACCAAACCCGCACCAGCGCGGGGCCGGGCCTAGGGCGCCGCGAAATTCCGCACCGTCGCCAGAACACAGATAAGGTAGGGAGCGCACGCGAGAGAAAGCCCCTCAAGCAAGAAGTATGAGGGCAGCGGTTGGGAAGGGAATGGAAAAGTAACGTGCAAAACACTCACTTTGAAATCAGAGTTAAAAACAATGGTAACTCTGATTAATCAGACAAATAAATTATTGTTACTCTGATTTTTCAGACTTTTTTTAGGGGGCGACTCTGAAGGCCATACCAAGAGATGGCAGGCAAGTCTGATGAATCAGACAAGCCTAAAACCAATTTGGGGGCCTGTTTGTGTTATACCAACACTGAGTTTTCAGGGAGTAACGCGTACGAACCCTGAATACGACATCCATGCGGACCCTGAATTTCCTCGAAATGGCCCCCTTACGCGTGACGGGGCCCTAGTCCATTGAACACGCCCAGCATGCGTCACGTGGGGAATCTGCACTCGGCAAGATTCCCGCCGTATACACGCTGTATGCTGCCATTACAGCAACATTTGCAACCGTCAACTGGCATTCGTGACTCAGCACGCAGCAGACGAGGACAGAATATGATGAGCGCGGCAATGTCAGCCTCTGTATGACATCCCCCCGCCAATCATCTCTGTGCAGACGATGCCAGCGCAGGTGCGTTTCGCCGTTGACGGTATCGCCATGGCGATACGGGAACCTGGATGGGTTATGCACCATCCATGAAAATCGAGAGATGGGGCTTCTTGGTCCTCTTCCCGTCTTCTTCACCAGCTCCTCCTCCAACCCAGTTTTTTTCATTTCTTCACGTCACAGCTGCGAGATGCTCCAGTCTTCAATCTCCTCTAGTTTCGTCGCGCTGATTTCTCATTTTCAGCATATCCGCCGCTTCTAGCCATGGCGGATGTAGGAGACTCTGGTGAGTCTCCCACTGCCGACGATAGTTCTGAACTAGGTAGGGACCGCCCCGTGGAGGTCCGTAGATCCGCGCTAGACATCTTGCGGTCTCCCACCGCAGTCCTTACACCATCACAACCCGTATCTACTCCCGCCGCTCCCTATGTACCTCCGCCCGCTGTCGCTTCATCTAGCCGGGGCCCTTTGGTTCCAGACTGCGAGACAGCCACGACCGTGCGTTACACGGTCGAGTGTGCGTCGACGATTTCATCTGGGAAGAAAGCACGCGTCGGGAAGTACACCCAGAGCACGATAGTCCTCGGCGGGAAGCTACATAGACCGTCGCCGCCTCGCTCGTCACCTGAACCTCAGGCCCCTGGTATTCCAGAACCCGAGCCGCCGAAGCTCTCAAAGAAGGAACTCATCGAGCAGAAGTATCTCATGGCTGAGCACAAGTATAAGACCAGCTGGCTTCCTTTTTTCCCTTGGCTTCTGCTAACGAAAACGAAAGATGGTTACCCTGCTTTGAAGTGCAGTGTGTGCAAGGCTTTCGGCAAAGAGACAACACCGTACTCCAACAGCCGCGACGGGGCACGTGACCTGCAGACGCAAGCGATGCGGTTCCACGAACACACGACAGCCCACGAAGTAGCCGTCAAGCGTCAGATGGAGATCGCCGAAGAGATCGCCAGCACCCAGAGGCGCATGGAGAATTACGCGCGGATTGACATCGAAGGGAAGCGTGTCATGAGGCTCCTACGCTGCGTCGACTTCCTGTGCAAGTGTGATGCACCCATCAGCATGTACCCGAGGCTACTCCGCTTCATGGCCGAGCAGGAGACACCGGACATTCCGCTGCAGTCTTACGGAGTCTACCTGACAAGGTAATGCACTTATTCGAAGTACACCATGTCCTTTTTTTTTCAAAAAGGTCTAACCAACACCTTGTTGTCACTTCTGCTACTACAGGTATGGCTTCTGTCAGCTCGTCAGCAGCCTGGCAACCTACCTGCAGCGCCGACAAATGCAATACATTCTCGCCTCACCCTACCTCGGCATCAGCTGCGACGAGAGCACTGACCGTACTCGCGGTAAACATCTGATTGTTTATCTGACCTTCTTGCGGGCGCATCGTGTTGTGACTGAGTTTTTTGCACTCTTGACCGTCGAAAAGTGCGACGCCGCGTCACTCCTCGCCGTTCTTCTGGCTCACTTGCGAGCAACTGGCATCGATCTCTCCCGAATCACCGGCATGAGCACCGACGGCGCCTCTGTCATGGTCGGCCGAGACAACGGTCTCGTCGCCCGACTTCGCGAGCACATCCCCCATCTCGTCTCTTCGCACTGCATCGCCCACAGGTTTAACCGCTTGTCATTTCACTCGCTTAGGTTTCCTACAAGTGCTTGACTAAAATTCCCTTGTGTGCACCATGCAGGGAAGCCTTGGCGGTGAAGGACGCGGCCACTGCTTCTCCAGACTTCGACATGGTCGACCTTGTGATTCGGACTCTGGCCGATCTTCTGGGACGTTCATGTGTCTGGAGTCAACGCTTCAAGTACCTGCAGCGGGCAATACATAACACCAACCTTGAAGTGCAAGGAATTCACACCGTGCGCTGGCTTTCAAGGGGTGAGGCTGTGAGGCGCCTTTGTAAGGTCCTCGGCGCCGCTATCATTCTCTTCTATGAGTACGGGCATGAGCTGTATGAGGTCGTTATCTGTTACAAGTTCCAGTTTTGTCTTTTTTTCCTGGCGGACGTCCTCGGAGTGATGAATGAGCTCAACCTCAAATTCCAGAAGAGGGAGGTGAGCTTCTATCACCCTGCATGTAATTTTTGTCCCATGCATGCACGTTTGGAATCACCCTCTGACTCCACTCCGTCGTCTGTCACATCCACCAGGTCGATGTCACCGAAGTGACGAAGGACATCGACGAGGCGACAGGGGACCTCCGCCACCGCTACTTGGAGTGCGGAGAGGTGTTCGGCGGGGGTGTCGAAGGCACGTGGCTTTCGGCTTTCTTGGCGGTCTACGGGCGCGGAGGGGGCAAACGCGTAAAGGTGCGGGGCATCGACAAGGACGGCAACCCAGTCACGCACACCTACACCATGCACGAGAAGCCGATCGACGGGCATGCCTTCCGCAGCAAGTACCCCGATTGCGAGCGGCTCTGCGCGCAATTCGCGAAGGACACGATAAGCTTCCTGAAGACGAGGATGCTGGACCTGAACAATCTCGGCCCGACGAAGCTCTTCCGCGTGTCGAAGTGGCCCCGGATGAAGCAGCAGAGAGAGAAGAAGCTGAAGGAGTACCTACATGGCTGCAGTGCCTTGTTCGACAACAGGCTGACAGGCTTTTCCTTGCAAGCTGCGCAGAAGGAGCTGGTCACGTGGGCGCCACTGATGCTGAGCCACCATGCCGACGAAGGATTCCATCAAGGCCTGACGAACTACCTCGGCTCGACGGAGTCGACCTTGTGAGAGAGTGCTGCTCGAAGGACGATTATTGATTTTCCTTTTGGGCGGTTTCATTGTTTCCTTTATCAGTTGTTGTTTATCGATTGTTGACAAGCATTGCTAATGCACTGGTCTTGTTCCATGTACTCTATTCCCCCAACCCTTCTGGCAGGCGCTGGCCCAACCTCATGCGCTTGTGGCAGGCATGCGCTGTCCTGCCGCTTAGCACAGTGGAGTGTGAACGAGGCTTCTCGCGGCAGAACGTCATCAAGTCATGGGTGCGGGGCGCGTTGTGCAATGCGCGCCTCAGCGAGCTGATGGTCATTTCCCTGCTGCAGTACGAGACTGACTGGGACGAGGCCATTGGGTGCTGGCGCGAGAAGCTGAGGCGCCCTGCTAAGTCTGTTCTGTTTGCCGCAGCGGAGAGGAAGCGTAAGGCGAAGGCGATTGAGGGGGCAGAAGTGAGGGTGGAGGAGGAGGCAGTCCCCGACTACATGGGGGATTGGGCAGAGGATGAGGGAGAGGAGGAGGGGGGAGTGGGGGCAGTGGGGGGAGAGGCTCCTGAAGAGGAAGACAACCCCTTTCTGTCCGATGACGACGCAGAAGACGAAGTGAACATGGATGGCCCAGAATTTTAGTCAAATGTAGCTAGTGGCATGGAATATTGTGAAGTCTAGACTAGATAGAGGACTTGTAGACTGGCGTGGCGTAGTGGTGCTTTTACTTAACTAGTAGCTGTACATTCCTAGTTGATTTTTTCCCAAGTACAATGCAACCCTGATTGTTGCAAGCCAACCCTGGAGGTTTCAGGGTTGTAAGTTCCAGAACACTGAGAAATCAGGGAAGTCAAAATACCAACACTAGGCCCTCAGGGTAAAAAATTTTCCCCATTCGACAGCTCAGGGTGGTTTTTTTTGAAACGTCAGCCCTGGTGTAAACGTAGGCAGCGGTTTTCTGTGGCGATTCACGCAGTTGTATGTTGTCA